GTCTAGTGATCCGAAAATTATAGGGATCAAAACTTACCTTTTCGAAAATTTCAGCCAGAAAAAAGGCTCCCGAAAATTATATGTGAGCTTTTTAGGGTAAAAATCCGTAAAAATGGGCAATTATACCATTTTTTAGATGTTCTAAAATCCTAGGAGAAGCAGGCAAGCAAGAAATTTTACAACTGTGAATGTTCCGAAAATTCTAGATGTCAAATCTTCTTCCGAACAGATATTTTCCGAAAATTGACGTTGGGTGCCCCTGTCAAAGTATGAACGGGACTTTTAGATGCCTAGTGGCGCCTCATCGCCCGAATCCACTGGTTCCTTTTCTCCAGATTGAGAAAATATTTCGTACTCTTTTCACCGTGTTCACACCATCGCACCCGTGCGCGAATTATAATACCTTGAAGTTTTTCTTCATATAAATGTTCTAATTTTTCTTTCGCCGTATTAGAATCGCTTGCGTTTTTATTGGTAGGATCGCCTTCGAAGGTTTGCTTTGCATTGTTAAACTCATCTTGCAATATGTCTCCCTTATCTTTTTTTCTCTTTTGCTTTACGTTTTGAAAACTGTATTGCTTGTGCTCTAAGATTATGCTTAATCCGATCCCAAATACATCTGTGATCCGGCAGGTCACACCCGCGCCCCTGGGCTAGCCAGACAGACATTTTAGCCGTAACCTCCCTTTGCTAGTTATCATCATCTAGAAGAAAACAGTTCATTTTCCAGTAACCCGGACCTTTAATGTGGTTTTGACTAATATTAAAATCCAAGGAAATGTCTGCATGGTCGGTTTTAATGGCTGGAAGAATATCCGTTACTGAAACCGAATCTTGAAGGTTATTTGAAATCAGCCAGTAGTCTAAGCGGCATAAAATTAAATCATTGGCGAGTTTCGAAACTTTTTAGAGAAGGATTTTTAATTCTCCAAATGTCAACAAATCAAGTTCGTCTCGCAAACAATCAATCGTTTCAATAACTGATTTCCTCGGTAACATTGTACCACCTTTTTTTTATCTAGGGCTGGATTCAGCGGAAATTAAAATCACCCCCTATAATTATATTTTCCGCTTTGTCCGCCAGATTCAGGGGCACCCAATGGATCTGTTCCTCAAAATATCTGTTCTTCAGGCACATTTTTGCTGGCTGGGAGATGTGAAAGAAGTAATAGTCCTTGGAAGGAAAGTGTTGCTGGAAAAAAGATAATTCAGGGTGTCAGAGGGGATTTGAAGTCTAGAATAGCTGCTACGGGTTACTTGTATGGGTTACTTACCACTCAAGATCTGAATTGTGCCCTATGAAACTTCCCAGTAAGTTAGGTTGCAGGTTGTAAGGTTGCTGGCCGGGAACTCTTCCATCAGTCTTGCTGGGAGTGAGGAACAGATAATTTTTTTTCCAGCAATCTCCCAAAATGCTTAAAATAGTCTCAGAAAACTTTATTCACGCTTTGTTGTAGTTTTTAGGTCTTTTTCTGAAAATTTCCCGTTGGGTGCCCCTGCAGATTTTCATTTTGGAGTATCGTTCTCAGAATGTTAAGAAAGTTTACAATGTCTTTATCCTTATTCGGTGCATAGATATTTTAAAATCAGCACGTACAATTTGTCCAGACCGTTTATGGACTCAAGTTTGTCAAATTGAAGTGAAATCGATTCCACCAAGACAGCGATAAACAAAAATGAATTTGAAATCAGTAAAAAACGAGATTTGTAACATCTAGACCTGCCATTGAATATCCATCATATGGAACTTTTAAACTGTGAAGTGTACTAATTCTGTATGTTTGAACTCAAATAAAACGCAAATAAATTTTAAACCTTATATTTTCAATAGTTGTCATAAATGAACGAAGGAGTGAATTCTAAATCACCCTCTCAAGTTACTCTGAAGTAGCATCATAGTGAATATGCCGGCTTTATCACATTTTCATATGCTAGGAAATTTGGTGAAATTTTCTTTTTTGCGATCTTGAAAACTAACCTTTTCTCTGTGCGGCTTTATGCAAAAGGATAATAGCATTATGGGAAATGAACTTGCAGAAATTTGAGTGGGGGTACCTCGCCCTGCGTATTTGAAGAATGAAGCCGAGCTTTTTTCAATTCCGAAAGATAGTTAAGAGTCCCAAGTTCAAATGTACTTCCTCCCAACGGTTTTTCTTTGGGTCCTTCGGTTTCCTCTCTCCTCAAAACACCATACTTCCAAATTCCAATTCGAGGCAGATTTCTACGAGCCTGCGAAAACATCCGTTTCTCCTCGCTCTTCGCCCCTGGGGACGTTTCGGGCTAGATTTCTACAAAAAAGGAGCGGACTTTTTTCGACTTTTTCATCAAACCATTTGAATGCTTTCTTGGCCAATTATTACTCTCCCCCTAGGATAAGTTGCAGTTCTTAAGTATGCTTCATGTAATACCAAAAAGAAGCAGTATTGATTAAAAGAACATTATAGCCTACTTCGCAGACACTCTAAACCAACAACCACCTACAATGAAATTCCAACAACCACCTACAGTGAACAGTGACACTTACCACCAGCAGGAATATCGAAAGAATGCCTTGTGATCATTTCTCGAGTCAAGTAACCTGAAGCCGTTTCGTTCATATCTCTTTGTTCAGACCATCTCTGATGTTTTTTTTTTTCTCTTTAAGTTAGCTAAATTTGTATTACAGCTTTTGATTTTTGCATTTAAATAATAAAGCTTATCTTATAAAGATATTAAATAACAATCTTTCTATAACTTCTTTACTGACACTAAAACACAAATGGAACAAATCGGATTATTTCATATCCCTTGCATCATAGACCAAATTGGACTCATTCAGTTCTACTATCACTATTTATAATCATAATTTATTGTTTCAGTTCTCAAAGGAAAGAAAGGGGAACAAATATGAGGTTTTTGTGGACTTGTCTTAGAAGGAGACGGCCGGGACCACTTGACACGTGGTCCTTTTTATTCGGTATAGTGATTTCAAGCCTACCTTTCATGGGCTATTTCTTGTTAGGCCCTCATTGTACATGTTCGTCTGTCCCTGCTAACTTGTTTACCAGAAAACAAAGCCGACTGGATTTGGTGGCATCATTATCAAAAGAGTTATCTTCGTTACCAACATGCCCGTACAATCCAAGCTTCCTGATCCGTGGGACGATCGCAAGGTATTCTGGCTGGTGGCGTATCAACGAATCACTAGTTTTTCCAAGAGACGACACAAACATGTTGAATAGAGGCAGCCCCTGGCATTGGTTCCAGCCCAGTCCCCTTGCGGACAGGAAAAAAGTCAGTGTGGTTGTGAATAAGCTGTTGACTACCTTTCAGTCAAGGTATGAAGTAGATTCTTCATAGATCCTTTATAGCGGACCTCTCGCGCGCGAAGCGCGCCAGCGGAGCACCATGGGTAAGAAAATTTGGTAAGCTATCCATCTGAGAAAATTTGGTTATGACGTAGCTTACGAACGAGCGTCCGTACACCCACTACATGTAAGACGATGCCAAATGTCAGGTTATTTTAGCGGGAAATCGTATGGCCACCCGCGTCTTGTGAAGCAGACACAACAAAAGAGTCAATAAAGACGAGAACGGAAAGCGGAAAATGTTTCTGTATCCGTGTTTTTTTTTTCAAGTATTAAGCTTAGATTAATTGTAATGTCCACAGATTTGGAATATAGAGAAAGAGAAAGACAGAGAAAAAGAGAAAGTAGGGCGACAGGCCAGCGAAACTTCAATGAGAAAAGGAGCTAGAGCGAGAGAGAAAAAACAAAAGGAGACATTTTCTTTTGGAGGAACAATATGAAATTTTATAGCGGCGGGATACCAGCGGCCACCAGGGTGAAAATGAGCGACAGTGAAAAAAGAGTGAACAAGAACACGTCCGACATTCCCTCCATTAAACGTGTAACTAGGAAGTTTCTGGAAGTTTCACGTAACAGTCGTGCAAAACAACGGCAAAGAAATGTACAAAAAAGGTGTACTGCACCTACAAAGTTGCTTTTTTGCTAATTAGACCTATTGTTGTTGTTTTTTTTTTTTCAACGTTCTAGTTACCTTCGCCGCTTAGCATGACACGATTCTATATTTTGTTTGAGCAAACTATAAAAATTATCGAAAGCTTCGCTTTTAGCCCTTGCTAAATCTATATATTTCTCATGAACGATGAGAGGGCAGCAATATGTGTCCCTGTTTTTTCTTACGTTTCCGCTTTAAGATCCGTAAAAATCCATTTATCAAAACACGAAACAGATCACCACAGTCATTTCTCCAACAGCCACTGCACTTTTCCATGCTACTTTTATCGTCAGCTGGGACCTTTATGTGAACCTGTTAATCATGAGCAATACGCGCGAACTTAACTTCCTGTGCAATTTTACATTCTTTACTCAAATGGGAAATAAAAATAATCCTGAACAGTCCCCTTAACAGTTTTAAGGAAGCTCGGACCGGCGTCATGCAGTATAGAACGCGTCACTGACTGCCGCTGTCAGTCATGTTGTCACCCACCAAAGCAATAGAGATCTTAAGATTTTAAGAGGACGAGGCCGACTACGCCGGGAGGACGTGCCGGATTTTCTAGACCCTGTTCGACTTGTTCTAGACTCTTATAAGTGCGCGCGAGTGAGCCAACGTCATAGGTAATGGCCGTCGTAAATCTAACACCGACGACTTTTAGCAAGTGCCGAGGTAACCAAAACGAATTATTATCATTATCACCAACCCTAAGAAAACTCAACGCGTTGAACAAAAATAACCGTGTTGATCTTTCTGGTGAAAAAAAGTACAATGACGCTTTCCGAAGTGTCTTTTGTTTTTAGAATACGCTAAAAAAATTTAAGTTAAATCTCGCCTATGTAGTTGTCCGGGTCGCCCTCGAATCTAAAGATCTCTAATGATGATATGCGCATAGCCTGAGTAGCAGACGTGAAAACGGGTAGGGCCGGGTTATAGGGGAAAAAGGGAGGGAGGCTGGGGAGAGTGGGTTTTGCGCTTTTCTTCCTCCCCTCCCCCTCCCCTTTTCGCATAAGTGCACTTATACCACACAACGTAGACTTTAACTCAACCGGTAGTTCTTCAATTCTCCTGGTGGTTCTCGTCTTTCATTTCTTTCCTTTGTTTTCTTTTTTAGGAAGAATTACTTAAAAAAAGTCTACAAAGTGATACAAAAATCAGACCCCGGAAATGGCGATCGGTTTTTGTTGGATCTTGCACTTGGTTTAGTGCATGACCCGTTGAATCGATCAATTCGCTTTGCACAACACGTGTACCAGAGAAACGGAAGTGATATATTGTGCCATCCTGAAGGAATGAACTGGAACAGCAGCGCCACAGTATATTTAATTCTCGCTGTCAAGGATCAAGGACTATGGGTACATCATTTCCTCAAACAGCTCACCATTGCGAGCTTATTAACCGGTGACACGAACTTTCACGTCATAATCGCTGATTTTCAAAGTAAAGATATTAACATGAGCGAGGCGTTTAGCACATCGCTACTCCGAAGTAGGCATACAATCATTAATTTAATGGGAAAATTTTACAGGACTCTTGCCTTAAACAAAGCAGCCGAAGCAGTGCCTAATGCGCATGACATACTTTTCGTGTTTGACCTTCACATAGATGTGCCTGCAGACATCATGGACAGCGTTCGAAAGGTTATTCTATTCATAATACTCACTACCTGATCTGTCTTCTCATTCTTTAAAAGTCTTCAGTTAATTTTGGAAATCAGCGCAACCTGAAGGTACGGAAAAACGGGCAACAAAAAACATGCAACTTGTCTTCTGTAACGTTGCTACAAAACGAGTTGAAGGGCGATGTTGGGCCTTTTACAACCCACATAAAACCTGTCTTGCAACAAATAAGGCTGTTAACAGGTTTGAACAAGCATGGCAAAACGCGCAACATCTTTATTCAATCGTCTGCAGCAATGTTGCAAAACGAGTTGCACGTTATTGTTGCCCGTTTTACCGAAGCTTAAAGATTTATCTGCTAGCATGTGGCGGATTGACTAATCTGTAGGTTGTTTGCGCAATGCATGATGTCAATCTGTGTTCCGTGTGACCGTTAGTCTGCTACATAGCCGTTTTTAGTGTCGTCACGCAACGCTCCACCCCCAAAACACCGTACATTTTTAAAACAACGGAGCATAATATCTTCTTTAAACTGCCCTAAGGACAACCAGTATCAAATTCCACCTTGTCATTACGGGTATTGGGTATCGAACCCAGTCCTTTCGGCTCCGAAGGGCAAGCGTTTCTCCACTTACGAGGATGATAGAAAGGACCTTACAAATTCATTCATTCATTCATTCATTCATTCATTCATTCATTCATTCATTCATTCATTCATTCATTCATTCATTCATTCATTCACCGACAATAGCAGAGAGCCTTAAGCTAGTAAGTTCAAAAAGAATAATCAAGGTCGAGTAAGTGATATCATCCGAGACCTTTGGCTGATAACACTTACCTCGAACTTGATTATTCCGGATATCACAGAAACCTCATCCAATAATTGTTGCTAACTAGTTGACTTCCCTTTTCCTTCTTTAGCTACAAAACTGGTGTAGTCTGCGTCACAGATGACGTACATATGTAATTTAACCTCAGTTAGTAACGTCTGCGAAGCATCCATATTCTGGGCATATTCTGGGAACTGGGCACCCAGCGGACTCAACGAATTACCGGAAGTGCGTCTCGAATTTCCTTTCAACGTGATTGGCAAATCGACAATCATGGCGCGTACTCAAATCCTGAAACACAGCTGGAGACCCAGCCTCGTACCCAGTCGCTCGCGATCACTTTTGAGGGATATTTGAGAAAGCCCTAGTTCGTTTCCAGCATCCCCCGTTTCTCGCTTGTCTCCAGCTCTCGCGTGTTCCCCAATCCCCGCTTAGCCTTGGGAAAACCTGTGGAGGAGGCAGGCTGGAGACCCAGAACAAGGATTTTGGCGCTGTTTCGCAGACGGACTCAACCAGGGTTTAGTTTCGTCTTTGGCGAAGGCTAAACTGGTGCCAAGTGAAAAACTAAGATCACCATTCATACCTCAGAAAAAGGCTTCTGGAAAAAGATTAAAACAATGAAATCAAATAGTAGTAAATATTATCTCTCCTTCTCCTTAGAACACTATTGCAGGTCGTATGGTTTATTTCCCGGCAGTGGGCCGCCTAGATCAAGGAAGTAATTCTGTGGAACATCGAGGTTTCTGGCAAATGGATGGGTACGGACTAGTGGCGATGTATAAATCAGATTGGATAAGAGTAGGAGGTAAGACTAAAATAATTTATCCTTTGCCAAAACTAGGGTAAAGCATTTTCTCACACCAGAATAGAACGGAAAAGTATAACGTCACGTTACCACGGTAGCAAGATTTGTGGGTCACAACAATAGGGAGTTTTTGCTACCATGGTAACGTGACGTAACGGCTTCTCCTCTCTGTTAAGTTCAGTTAAGGGCGAGAAGAGGCATTCGTCACGAGAGGGAAACTGGGCCCAATTAAATTTCGCAAAGACTTCTGGGACCGCTATAAGAAACAAGGGAAAAATCCGGCCCGTATCCAGTAACAATCTCAGAAATAACTGCAGTGTCAGTGATATGGGCATCCCCTTCTCATATAGAGAGAAGAAGTGTGACGTCACGTTACCATGGTAGCATAATTTTATGAATCACAACAATAGGAAGCTTAAGTAACGACGACGGAGATAGCAACGAGAACGACCAAAAAGTAATAAGTTTAGATAACAAAACAACAACTTTGCACGTGCATCACGCTTTTTTGTACATTTCATAACCGTCGTTGCACGAATACGACGTGAAACTTCCTAATTTTACGCGCCCGCTTTGTAAAGTAGTTGAACACAGCGAATTTTTTTTTTCTTTTTCTTAACCTAAATACGGTCCTCTTGGATTCAACCCCAGAAAATTTAGCTAACATTTGACAAATTGATTGAAACTAAATAAGATCGATAAAGTCTTAAACGGTGCGAATTCACTTTTTAAGTGACGTTTATCGGTTTGTTGTCATCCAGAAATTTTGCTACCGTGGCAACGTGACGTAACGACTTCTCCTCTCTATTACTTCAACGGTCTGGGTTAAGGTTAGGGTTGGGTCGTACTGCGTCGCGAAATTCGATCAAATTTGGACAAAATGTTGGAAGCTGAAGGTTTCTCTACCTCTAGGACCTCTTTTTGTCTCGCTTTTACGCTCAACTGAAAGTAACAATCACGAATTATGGAATATCCGTTTCATAGAAAGACATCGCGCCTGCTTTTTGGACTGATATAAGCCGCATCTGTTTTATTTTCGTTTCACACTTCGAACATTTTAATATTTTTTGACTATTTTTGTTCTCTTCTTGTTTTCACTGCGCATGTGTGTTCAACTAGGAATGAATACTAAAGACTACAAATACAAGTGGGGCGGAGAAGACTGGGATCTACTCGACCGCGTGTTAATGGCGTCACTTGAAGTAGAGCGAAACAAGTACCCAGGCCTCTATCATCACTACCACTCCCCCAAAAAGTGGAATTAGCCAGGATTACGAACCAGGATGCACAGACAGTCATTATTAATGGGTGTTTAAGTTAGCAAGCGTAAAAACCCGGGGGCAGGACTCGGGCAGGGTTTGGGCTGGGTTTCTGACACACAACAAGAATCCAAATTTGGACTAAATCCTGGAGGAAGAGGGCTGGCAAACTTTCGAAAGACGTATACCTCCTTACATAGCGTGCAAACGCAAACGTATACGCTCTTCTCACATATGGTAATATGCCCGTCTAACCTCGTTTACGGGTAAAAATTCTTTTGAAATTCAAATACGAAAACGTCGTCTGATTAGCATTTCAAAGGACTTTTTACTCAAAAACGAGGTTAGACGGGCATATTACCATACGTGAGAAGAGCGTATTCTGAGTCGTCCCTTATCCCTACCTAACTTTACGGACGGAGGGAAGCAAAGACCCGAAATACATCTGTCCAGTTAAGCTAATATATTAAAGGTGGTGTCTGTGGGCGATTGGGTTATTTTGTGTGGGAAGAATTTGTTTTCCAGGCCTAATAATCGACTGTGATTAAGAGGCAAAACGTTTCACTGAGAAAAAACCCGCCGCAATTTTTTTTTGCCCTTGATGAGCCCGATGTAAGGGTATACTTTTGCTTAGTCTGTTTTACTGTATGCGCTTCTCTTTGTAATCATGAATATTTATTCAGTTTATTCTAGTTATTTCGGTGTTGGGTATTCCGACTTTATTCAGGGATATATAATATATAAATAAGTTTGTTTTTAGATCATTTCGGAAATCAAAAGTTCCACTATGTCTCAAATATCTTTGTTAAGGGACAAACGATGGTGTTTACAATCTCAAAAAATAGATGTTGGACGTACGGGTTCTTTGAAGATAGCATTTGAACGAGAAAAAACTGTTCGATAAGAGAGATCTATTTTGGCTGTAAATTCTGTTATAGTACAAATATATTTTTCACCCATGCAGCTAACAGAAATCTGATAAAAAGGTTCTATTTTAAAAGTTAATAATCAAGTAACAGCTTTCGCTTTTTTTGCATTTAAAGTCTTACGACAAAATTTGTCGTAATTTTCAAGCTAACAGCTCACTCTTTTACTTTGTTAGCCCCCGTTACTTTGGTGTTCCTTGAGTAGAGCATGGTCTTCCTGTGCAATTAGCCAACTGAGTTTAAACTTTATCTTTTTTGAAAAGGAAAAACGTCTTTTTTATCACCGAAAACCAGGTAGCAGATATTCTTTTTCCTGCAAATGCAATAAAGACATTTTGCGCATTTACGTTTGAATTATCGTGGGTGTCCTGTGTTAAAAGCTCAAAATGTTTAACGCTTAATTTTGACATGTTCCAGCAAAAGAAATTTGGCGGATTTTTATTAGGTAGCTTGATAGTCCACCCTTACTTAAATGGCATTGAAAACAATTCTGTTGCAATTAGTTTGATGTTGAGTCTCTAAAATCAGTAACCTAGACTGACTGGACTATTAATTTTACTGAGCTTGTAACTTTTACATTTAATTTATTTTGTTTTGCTATTACGCCTGAAAGTATTTTGTAAAGTCTGTGCACATTTTTTTAAGTTGATAAGTTTTGACATGTAATAACTTTGCACTCACTTAAGCCTGCGCATGTGTTATAAGGGGGAGGGGGTACTCCCTTATATGGCCTATTCGGGGCAACCTCTTCCCCAGGGCGCTTTTTCCTGGCTTTGGAGGCAAAGCCAGGGAAAAGAGCCCTGGGGACGAGGTTGTATTCGGGGATCAGTGCTGCAACAGCGTTCAGTGCTGCCGGACCTCTCTGTCCTAAAAAGATATATAATTTCGCTGGAGTCTGCCAATGGGGTATTGCCTCGCGTATTGCCTGCACGATCGATTTGATTTGCTCTGTGAACTTTTTTTTATTTATACTTCAATTATAAAACAGCAATGAATAAAAAGTGAATTTGCTCTTGCGTGCGTTCTGTCCTTTTTCCTAAACAGGTTAATAGAATAAGGGTTGTTGTCCTAAATAGGGAAATATTACATGTATTTTAGGAATTTTTTGTCTTAAACAGGGTCAGGGTTTCAAACCTTCAGCGGCTCAACTATACTAAAATACTGGTCAAGTACCACCCCGTGGCTCTAGCCTGTCTTCGTTCTGCATCCTCTTCTACCACAACAATCCTCCCCTCCCGTGTCCTCTTCAACAGTCCTCTTCCACGTCCACGTCATGTTGACCCTCCACCAACACTAACCCTACTCTCTACCCCTCCTCCTCTTATACCTCGCGCTCCTCTTTGTCGACCTCCATCAACTGACTGGCCTCTCTGGGTTGTGCGGCCCTGTCCACAGGGCCTCCTTCCTCTTCTTCCCCGTCCCCGGGTCCATCCTGATTCGGTTTGAGTATCATTCTCGCTCTCCACCTCGGTGCCATTGGAAGAATTTGACTCAGAAGCCAGAACAAGCAAATTTCTCCGCTTTGTGAGAACCTCTTCATGGGCATTTCAAAGACAATTACGGAGAATGGACAATGTGCGTATAGGTTATTTTCCTTGCACCAATCAGTGCACCGGTGTTGATCCCCGAGAAAAAATGCCCGAGAAAAAAATTCAACTTAGTTGAGTTGGAAGCCATCTTCATGTTGTCCAAAATGATGTCAAGTGTTGCAAAATCCCAAGCATGTAATGCCTTTTAATTGTAAGTAGACCAAATGCTGGCTGCAATCTTCGGTAGATTTGTTACAAGCGAATCCATACTTAATTTAGAGGCACGTTTTATGTCTATTTGTATTCGTGCATCAAAAAAAAAAAAAAAAAAAAAATAATAAAAAAAAAAAAAAAAAAAAAAATTCTGTGCCAGGTTTTCAAAGCTGGGTAAGATAACCCGGAGTTTGAGCGAAATTGGTATTTTTAAATTTTAAAAAAATTCTTAAAAGGCAAATTCAGTTTCATTCCTTTTCTCTTCAAATTAATTATAGTATGCTCTCGAAAGTATAGAGACAATTTTCGAGAAAACTCTTTTAAACAAAAGAAATTAAAAAGATACCCGTATTACAAATTAACACCGGATTTATAGTGCTAATTGGCCTATAAACGACATGTAATCAACAAATCGCTGTGGCGTAATGACGGGTAAGTCACAGCTAGTTGAGAAGGTTGCTTCATGTCTCGGAAAAAAAGGGAATTTAGGAAGGGGGGAAATAGAAAAACAGATAGGTACCGGGAAACGAGTCCTTTTTTCTACGAGCAGTAAGTATTTATGGCAAGTTTATGGTATGTAATATTTTAATGAATTCACTGTTGTCGTTGCGACAACAACAACAATTACGAAAAGTGAGTTCCTCATAGGAAAAAAAGTAGACTTATACCTCGTCATTCTCGGAAGGGTCTTCTTGGAGCACACATCGAGTTTTCATGCATGCACACGCGTTCCTCGTACTCGATGGCAACTCGAAGTGCAGAACTGAGCACTACGACACGGGCAGGCATTTCTTTCTGCTTCTCTTAAGCAAAAGCCATTAAATGTACACACCGAGATATCATCGCGTCCTGCCTGAGCGGCCACTTCAATGTCTCTTTCCTCAATTTTATCGAGAATAAAGTTTATCTGCATTAAGGCCATCCCCTTTTTTTCTTCGTTTACTGTCGAATGCGTTTCCTGATACTGGGTCGGTCGGTCGGATTGAAAAAAAAAAAAACCTAAAAGAAAAAATCACAAGAAGTCTCGGAATAGAAGGCCCTGGTACCCCAAGACGACGTTAAAAGTTAACATTCACATATTTGGATTAACAAAATGTACAATATACTGTGAAAAATGTTCATGTTTTTGTTCCTGTTTTTCTCTATGCTGTTAGTATGCTCATTTTTCAGATTAAAAGAATTATTTCAAGTGAAAAATGGTATAACTACGTCGTTACGTTTTTTTTTTTTGAAAATGCCAAAAATTTGGGTCGGTCGCACGACAGTAAACGGAGAAAAAAAAGAGGATGGCCTGATGGCGAGATAAAAAAAAGCATCATTGTTTCACGTCATGGAAGACTTGAATTGGTACATTCGATGAAGTGTTACACGACGTAAGTACCTTTCAAAACAACCAAAACAAACTGTTGAGCCTGCGCAGTACGGACTGGAAGGCTTCTTTATACGCACTCTATGTAAGCCGATGCCAAATGTATGGTTATTTTGGCGGGAAAATGAATGAATGAATGAAGAGTCGTGGATGAGAGGACAACAGACGTGCCCTCTTACAATACATTTTAACATGTGAACAGTAAGCTCGAACGTCAGCAAACAAAGGCGCCACTGGTAGCCGCTCTGAGTCCATTTATGAGCTTACTGTACCCACCCAACCCATGATGTGAATGATGTGATTTGTGAAGGTTGGCCACAACAACGGAGTCTACGTCCCCTACTGTTTTCAAACAGTGGTGTGGGTTCTTTTCCGTCCCACAAGAACCAGATAAGTGTAAGTGCTGTGAGACGGGACCTACGGTTTTTCGTCCTTATCCGAGAATACTAGAAAGTCTAACCGTTTGCAGATGTCATTACAAAGGCAGCACTTTCTTCTAAGTTATTTTAAGACCCTGAGTGTTGATCAGGCCGGGGTTCGAACCCGTGACCTCCCGCTCAGCAGACCGGCGCTCTCCCAACTGAGCCAATTGGAGGGCGGAAAGCGTATGGCCACCCGCCTCTTGTCAAGTAGAGACAACTAAAGAGTCAATAAAGACGAAAATGGAAAGCAGAAAATGTTTCTGTATCCGTGTTGTCTAAAGTATTAAGCTTAGATTAATTGTCATGTCTACAAATTTGGAATATAGAGAAAGAGAGGGACAGAGAAAAAGAGAAAGTAGAGGGTGCTAATGGGGGTACCCAATTCTCAGTCAACTACTACTTTTTCGGCCAAATTTCAGTAAACTACTATTTTTTTGGCCAATTCTCAGTTAACTACTAATTTTGGTTAGCCATTAACTTTTAGTTTCCCACAGCGAATATTATCCCTTCATAACCCGAATTTTCCTTCTTTCAGCAAGTCTATCACTTTAGGGGTAGGTCCTAATAAAATCAAGGTATAAATTTTCATAAACTCTGCCACTAGTACAATTTATTGGTAACTGAAAATATAAGTCGTATAACCATCAATATTACACCAGCCTCATAGATCCAGACGCACCAGTCATGGTCTCGTACTGATCTTCCCGACATGGTCATGCATGTCCTGCCATAAACTACTTCAAAGTCACCTTCCTCGGCACTTTCACTATCTGATCGGAATATCTGGTTGCTGTAAGTCCTGTATCTTGTTGTTGGCCAAAGTTTCAATCCATTTTTAATCCTTGCAATCCATTGCAACAGACGACGAGAAACATTATCAATGCTAAAATATAGTCTTAGATAACAAAACTGAACCATTATTTTTGGAATTCAATTGCTGAATTCAATCACTGTTTGCACCAATGGGAGAGACATAGTCGAGAGTGCTGACAAAGGCATGAAAGTATTTGACAAGGCACAATTCGACTTTTATTTCGTGAGTGTAGCCCTCTTCGAACTCCAAGTTCTTTTAAGTGATTCCTTTACTGTGGTTCCAAAGTCTTGGGCGTAGTTCAAAGAAATAAATGTGTATGTTGTGTTGAAGTGAGAAACCGCATGTAGGTTTTCCACATGCGTTGTCAGAAGTTTTTTTTATCTCGATATAGATTTTGTCGACATCCTCTTCCGGGTCCCGCAATGTTACCTTTTTTGCAGACGCACCTTTTTCGCATATTTCAAAAGCCTCATAAAGATATCCAAGGGTTTTAAGAAATGAAAATTCCGCAGCTGTTTCAGTAAGACCGGTTTAAACACGAGCATTTCTTTCTATTAAAAAAGTCGCAATAGTTAGAACTCCAACATCAGTTCCAAAATGATTTCTCGTAAGTACAAATCCATGTACTTGAAACAAAGACTGCCGATTTCTTTGAACCTTCAGAAATTCTTTCTAGCCAGAACCAATGCTAAGAGTCACAGCTTGTTTATTTGGGTAATGTTAAACTTGACGATCTTTTGGGTCCGTGAAAACAGTATTTTCCTTTTCCGGACACAGAAGTCTTGTTAATATCAGAAGACGAATTATTCGTTGAGTTGTCTACAACCAGCTCTTTGACTACGCTTTCTGTTTCTCAGGTACTGCCCTGGTGAACCTTTTGCACATAGTAATATAAGTAAATGTGCCACCTGGTCATCAGCGGGACAGAAAAATGTCAGGAAACAGCATTTCTGTTGCTTTCATTAATTTAATATAATATCACTTAACTATTAATTTTTCATTTATCAGTTAACTACTAATTTTTTTTGCCAGTTATCAGTTAACTACTATTTTTTTGGCCAGATATCAGTTAACTGTTCACCCCATTCGCACCCTCAAAGTAGGGCAACAGGCCAGCAAAGATCAACGAGAAAAAGAGCTTGAGCGAGAGGGAAAAAACAAAGAAGACATTTTTTGTTGGAGGAACAACATGAAAATTTTGTAGCGGCGGTGAGAAAATGAGAAATGTTAGCGGCCACCAGGGTGAAAATGAACGACGGTGAAAAAAAAAAAAGTGAACAAGAACACACACGACATTTCCTCTATAAAACATGTAACGTGTTGTCGTTGTGCAAAACAACGGCAAAGAAATGTACAAAAAAAGTGTGATGCACGTGCAAAGTTGCTTTTTTGCTGATTAAACCTTTTGTTGTTGTTGTTGTTTTTACCGTTATTGTTCCCTTCGCCGCTTTAGCATTACACGATTTTATATTTTGTTTGAGCAAACTATAAATATTATCGAGAGCTTCGCTTTTAGCCCTGGCAAATTCTATATATTACGATCCATGGCAAGCTTTTTTTCTACTTTATAAAAGCAGCAAATTATGTTGACACTGTTGACAGCCGTTCACTCAATGCACGTCAATGCGTGTCAGCATTCGTACTCAACTGTGGAGACCGTCAGGCAGCCAACCTCGTCCCCAGGGCACTTTTCCCTGGCTTTTCCCGCCCTACCTCCAAAGCCAGGGAAAAGAAGCGCCCCGGGGACGAGGTTGTCAGGCCGCCAAATTTTAAGTAGACGTTGTAGAGGGGAGGGATGTGACACAAAAACATCCGGTTGACGTTAAGTGGGGACCAGGTGGATAATGCTGACGGCCCCTTGATGAAATTAACTTGTACCTGCGAAATTGACATATTTGTTTATTTTTTTATTTCCTCGCACAAAAAACGCAAAATAAAGAGTGTTCTTGTAAAATAAATATTAGTATTACGTCTTGGCACTGGTTTCAATCAACCACTGTTATATAAACTAGACACAGGCAAATGTTGCTTGAAAAATATCAGTTTCCGCTGCGGTACTTTTCGCATACCTAGTACCACCATTTCCCTTTTAAGGTAGATGATCTCTTCGTTAAGAGTTTCTCAGAACTTTCTCTGAGTAAGCTTCGTCTTGGGTTTAGCTTTACGGCCTCGCCTTATTAAGCCGTTATCGTCAGACCAAACGGGATGGGAAAACTGGTGCGAACGGCCGTAAGAAAAAACGAAAATTAATTGCATGAATATCCAAGGAAACCGACAGATGCAAGGTAAACGTAGCTAGTATTAACTTTAGCGCTGTAAACCTCAGTTGAGTAGTAGTTATTCAAGTATGAACGGGATTTTTAGATACCTGGTGGTGCTTTCATCGCCCGAGTCCACACTTCCAAATTCCAATTCGAGGCAGATTTCTAGCATATTGACGGATATGATAAACTATAAGGAACTATAGATCCCCAATCCTCGCATGTATCGATGGAACTTCAGNACCATTTCCCTTTTAAGGTAGATGATCTCTTCGTTAAGAGTTTCTCAGAACTTTCTCTGAGTAAGCTTCGTCTTGGGTTTAGCTTTACGGCCTCGCCTTATTAAGCCGTTATCGTCAGACCAAACGGGATGGGAAAACTGGTGCGAACGGCCGTAAGAAAAAACGAAAATTAATTGCATGAATATCCAAGGAAACCGACAGATGCAAGGTAAACGTAGCTAGTATTAACTTTAGCGCTGTAAACCTCAGTTGAGTAGTAGTTATTCAAGTATGAACGGGATTTTTAGATACCTGGTGGTGCTTTCATCGCCCGAGTCCACACTTCCAAATTCCAATTCGAGGCAGATTTCTAGCATATTGACGGATATGATAAACTATAAGGAACTATAGATCCCCAATCCTCGCATGTATCGATGGAACTTCAGATTTATAGCAACCATAGCCTGCTTGGCAGGCGTTCGAAAGCGAAGGGGAAGGGAATTAGGGTGCGACCGCGCGCGAGGGAAGAGGGGCGAGGGGAACGCCTGCAAGGTAGCCATTGTTTTCGCCTTCCCGCCTACTAATTAAAAAAATAGCAAAAATAGCGCAACTGTGAATGACTAGCTGTCAAATACTCAAATAAGTTTGGCCGTGATGCACGTATTCTGGTCGTATTCCTCGCACTGTTTTTCTTGTGTTTTCCTAAAATAAGAAATCTAAAGTAAAGGTACTATAAAAAAAAGTTCAAATGCGGTCGTCCATTGAAGGAATCTTCCTTGAAAGTTGCAACGACGCGTGCCGAGTCACATAAAATCCAGCATAAATCGATTCAAGTTGTTGCTGAAGGAATCGGGCTGGAAAACTATTTAATAAGAAATGTAGCGGCTCTTCACGACTTTCAATGGAATGTTTGTCTAAGACAAATTAAAACACTTTGCCGTCACGAACTCTTTGAATTTCTATCAGGACAAATTGGATCCAGCGGAGCACGCAAAATAACGCTGGTGGCGGGCAAAGAAGAGCTGAACTTGGAAGATCTGCAAGAAGGCAACAATTTGTTATAAAAGTAAGTTCCTGGCGGTTTTATAACCGGCAAGAAGAAGTCTTCAACCAAAAATCGCCAAAAGTTATAGATCGCTTCGTCTTCAATTATCTTGCCGTTGATAACGTGGGTCAAACAGCAGATAACAGGCACACAGGCAGCATGATTTTTCCTTTCTTTCTTCTGGCGAGTAAAACCGACAAGCCTTTGGGAGATGATGCTTTTCAGAACCAGTCAGTAAAACTCATCTGCTGACAGGCCTTTTCCTTCATACTTGAACTGTTTTTTTTTCTATTCTCCTTTTAAGCTGAAGTTGATGCCTTCTAACGACATATGTTTAGCTACTCAAATGGCGTGATGTTGATTTCAACCAATCGGAAAAAGGTATTAAGGCGAAGATTGGCATTTAATTAATTCTGACCAATCACTATTTTCACGCTCAGAATCTGAGCGTGAAAAATGGAGAAAACAATGGCGTCCTTGCAGGCGTTCCTTTCCTTTTTCCCTCGCGCGCCCAAATTCCTCCTTCCCCTTCCCCTTTTAACGCCTGCCACGCAGGCTATAGCAACCATCGATACATGCGTGGATTAGGAATCCATAAGGTTTCAGTTTATCGTATCCTTCGATATGCCAGAAATAGCTTGAAGCTGGGTTCTCGTAAGGCCAAGTAAAAGAAATACAAATGTTTCTCTTCTGGATTTCTGTATAAAGAAAGGGAGAGGGATTTTTGCTACTTTTTCATCAAACCATTTGAATACCTTATTATAGGAAATTAACGCTCCATGAAATTAACGCGAATCGTTAAAATTCGCGTTAATTTAAGTCGTTTAATTTCCAGTATTTTAACTCCAATTTTGGAACCTGTCCAGACATTCTTGACATTTCTTTCCCTTTACCCTTTATTTTTCATCTTTCACAAAAGCTAAGGCGAAGGTTTACGATATTTCGAGTTCATCTTCATCGTTGTCGCTGTCAGAAGTGATGTCAGCTCAGCTTTGAATTGTTTTGGATCCAGTGTTGAAATAAATTTGTTCCAGTTGTCACCACCAACTGTGTCTTAATCGCGTTAATTTCCTTTATTATGAAATTCTACCTCCTCTTTCGCGTTAATTTTCTTTATTCGAAAGTCGTTTTCCATTAAATTCACGTTAATTTAAGTCGCGTTAATTTCCAATACCTTAATTTCATGGAGCGTTAATTTCCTATAATAAGGTACTTTCTTGACAAATTATTACCCTCCCACTGCGGGGATAATTATATAAGTTGCAGTTATTCAGTAGGTCACATATTTATGAAAACTGTTGTGTGAAAAAACGGTACCGTAAGGAAGCTGTTTTTTCATACTCATATATATTCGTAAAAGGACAGATTTTTTAGAAAAAATATATTCTGTAAAAAAAAACGGTCATACACTAAAAGTTACTGGCGAACTCAGCTATGGTTCATATTAAAGTTGTTCAGTATTTACAAGTGTTTTCTGGCATGTTTCTCAATCTCTAAAATAAAACACGCATTGGCAAACGTTACAAACCGCCTTTATAGTCCCTAGTTCTTATAAACAAATCGGCTTCTGTTTTTATGGCCTTACAAGTTACTTTGTGTATTGCAAAAATTAGACTAACAAGCAAGTGTATGTGCGTTTGTAGGCGACCGTTTTCTTCAGTTGCTTGATTAGCCGACTGATCATGTTCCTACATTATGTTGGAAACTTAAGTTGTAACGCAGACATGACACTCTTACATGCATCAACATGGATTTCAAAAGAGCATGAATTCCGTGATAGAAATCTAGCGCAACATAATACAGGAAATTGCCTAACATACGATTTATGCTAGAAATGAAGTTATAATTTGTCCAGTGCTGAGAGCATCAAAGCAAAAAAGGAAATGGCAAACGTTAATAAGCGATTGCATGCTCTTGTATTTGCTGTATATCGACTAGTGTCAGAACTGTGCACGTGCAATCATGTGCTGAAGTTTTAAAAATTTTGTGCCCTTGCATACACCTGGACTCGCGTTATAGCCAAGTGTTTTGTTGACAGCTAAACCGATTATTGCAGCTGATAACCTTGAGAAATAGATAAATAATACAGAACAATAATAACAAATGAAATTACTGCCTGTTCTTTCTTCGCATCCAACAACTAGAAGGTCCTGGAAAATTGAATGCCAAAGGAAACAAGAAGTGATACTAAAAATAATAAAGAGAACGTAAATGTAAGTTAACAAAGGAATTTAAAAGCCCCATAATAAAGTGCTTCCTATAGTGTGGACACGGGAACGTGAACGTCACCAGCCAGATGTCTAATAACGTATAGTTTGAGAAGCGCACGAAGACTACAGTTCAATAAAATTCGAACCATGTTATAGAAAACAGCCTGTCTTCGATAAAAGGGTTTGTCAAAAGATCTGAAAGCAAAAGCATGAAGCTCTTTTTTTTCACGAAAATTTATATGAGTGGAAAAGCAGGATTTTTACATAAAATGGCAGCTTTCTTACAAAAATATATTTTGTAAGGGACTGTCCAAAAAGTATAGCGGGGGGGGGGGGGGGGGTGGACCGAGGCAAGGGGGGGGGGTGGGGGTGTGAGCCTAGGTAAAAGGGGTGGGGGTGTATATTTGAATTTCCCATAGGGAGGGGGCCCCCCTTTTTTTTTGGGTTAAAGAGGCATAACTTATCATCAATCATATTT